ATATATATATAATATATACAGTCAGCCCTGTGTATCCGTGGGTTCCACATCCATAACCAACTGTGGATCAAAAATATTCGAGGGAAAAAAGGACTTTTTTCTTATCATTGTTCCCTAAACAATACACTATAAAAACTATTTACATAGTATTTACATCATATTAGGTATTGTAAGTAATCTAGAGTGTAGGTTATATGCAAATACAGTGCCATTCTGTATAAAGGATTTGAGTTATCTACAGATTTTGGTATCCATGGGGGGTCCTAGAACCAATTCCCTGCAGATATTGTGGGACGACTGTAATACCTGGAGCAACCACTAAAAAAACTGTACAAATTGACACTCATAAACACTTTCCCCGTTGTTGTCGAGTTGATTCTGAATCATAGTGACCATATAGGACAGAGTAGAACTGCCGCATAGGGTTTCCAAGGCGTGGCTGGTGGATTTGAACTGCTGACCTTTTGGTTAGCAGCCAAATGCTTAACCACTCTGCCACCAGGGCTCCCTTAAACTCTTTAGATAAATGAAAATGGAGTTCTAAAAATGTTCAAGTAACCACAGGGAGGCAGGAAAAAGAAAAGAGAGAAACAAATAAAACCCAGAACAAACAGAAAACAAAAAATGAAATGACCTTACTGTATCAATAATTATATTAAATCAGGCAGTGTAAATACATCAGTTAAAAGACAGAGTTTGGTAGAGTGGATCATATGACTCAACTATATGCTGTCTACAAGAAATTCACTTCACATGTAATGATATTGCAGGTAAATGTGAAAGGGTGGAAAAGATTTATCATGCAGTCATTAATGAAAAGAAAGCAGAAGTGGCTATAGTTGTATGAGGTAAAGAAGACTTTAGAGCAGAAAAATTATCAGAGAAGAGAGAGACATTATATAATGATGAAAGGATCAATCCACCAAGAAGACATAGCACTGGAGAATTTTATCAAATGTTTAAAGAAGAATTGACACCAATTCTATACAATCACTTTTAGAAAACAGAAGGAGGGAGTACTTCTCCCAGTTCATTTTAAGAAGCTGCTATTACCCTGATGCCAGAAAATACAGTTCAATATCCTTCATAAATATGGTTGCAAAAATCTTTAACAAAATATTAGCATATAGAATTTGACAATAATGTAAAAGTAATTATATACACCATGACCAAGTGGGGTTTATACTAAGGATGCAAGGCTTGTTCAGTATTGGAAAATTAATGTAATGCACCATATTAACAGGCTAAACAGGCAAAATCACATGCTCATATCAATCAATGAAGAAAAAGAATTTGACCAAATTCATGCCCAGTCATAATAAAAACTTTCAGAAAAGTAGGAATAGAGGGGAACATCCTCTGCTTGATAAAGAGCATCTACAAAAAGCCTAAAGCTAACGTTATACTAACTGGTAAAAGATGTTCTCTCCCTAATATCGGTAACAAGGCAACATTGGTAACATCTGCTTTCACTACTCTTACTCAACTTAGTGTTGCAAGTTCTAGCTAGTGTAGTAATGCAAGCAAAGGAAGTAAAATGCATACAGATTGGAAAGGAAAAAATAAAACTTCTTATTTGCAGATGATACGATTGTTTACATAGAAAATCTCAAGGAATCTACAAATAAAAACCACTAGAATTAGTGAGCAAGTTCAGCAAGGTCACAGGATACAAGATAACAAAACCTATTGCCGTTGAAGTCGATTCGGACTCACAGCGACCCTATAGGACAGTAGGACTGCCCTATAGGGTTTCCAAGGAGCAGATTTGAACTGCTGACCTTTTGATTAGCAGCGGAGCTCTTAAACTCTGTGCCACCCAGGCTCCAGGATCCAAGATAAGCATGCAGAAATCAATTGTATTTCTGTATGCTAGTAATGAACACATAGAAATCAAAATAAAAAATACAGTACTATTTATAATCACTCAAAAAAAATCAAATACTTAGATATAAATCTAACAAAAAAATATAGAACTTGTATGCTAAAAGCTACAAAACACTGATGAAAAGTGTTTTGGAATCAGTCTGTCTGTTTGCAGGACTTACTATATAGCTGGAGCCCTGGTGTCACCGTGGTTAAGCACCAGTGGTTAAACAACCTTTTTTTTTTTAACAGATACTAAAATGTTCAGCTTATTATAGGCAAACTGTGACAATAGATTAGACAGTTTAGATAAAATGGACTAATTTTTTGAAAAACACAACTTCCTAAAACTAAACAGAAGAAATATAAGTATATATATTTCTATATCTACTAAATAAATAGAATCCATAATTAAAAGCCTTACCACAAAGAAAACCCCAGTCCCAGAGGGCTTTACTGCAGAATTCTTCACTTTAAGGGAGAAATAATACCAATTATCCTAGAAACTTTTAAGAGAACAAAAAATAGAAGGAACACCACCAAGCTCACATAAACTGCCCAAGAAGAGAAGGTAGTAAAGGGTCTCTGACAACCTGGAAGAGGGCAGGGCATGGCTAAAGGAACTGGCCCCTGGAGTCTAGAGAAAGGAATACCTCATCCTTTCTACCAGCCTCCCATGAGAAATGTCCCCAGGATGCAGGCAGAAGGGTCCCAGAGATGAAGGTCTCCAGTTTTGCCCCAGGCCTGCCAACCAGTCCTGTGAGCCTGTGAATGCCCAGAACCTCAGCATGAGTTGTTTGCTTGTTAGTGAGCTTGCACCACCTTCTGTGCTTAGTGAGTCATCCAGGCCATTCTTGGGTGATGCTGGTATGCACAACCTCTCCTTGCATCTAGTGGGCTAGTTTAATCCCTGGGAGTGGCTGGGTAGGTCTCCTGAAGTAGGCATGTTGTAACAATGCTTCCTTTTTCTGTCAAGAGAGGGTGGAATCCAAGTTGTCTGGAATAGACTCAGCCCGGAAATAATGCTGGGGTGAACCTCAACTTCTGGAGTGAGGCAGCTTCAACCTTTAACCGTTAAGTTGTGTCGTCTTTGCCTATGGCTGGCTGAGCATCCAAAGCATACTCCACGAGAGGCACTTCAAATTTCACTGGAGCACAGCCCCTTCTGTTGTAGAGTACAGTGGTTTTCTTCTTTTAAACGCATGTCAGAACTCAGCTGTGACAAATAAGCACATGAAAAAATGTTCAACATCATTAACTATTAGGGAAATGCAAATTAAAACTACATGATATATCACTACATAGCTATCAGAATGTAAATAAAAAATATTGACAACACCAAATACTGGTGAGGTTGTGGAAAAACTGCATTGCTCCTGTAGTGTTGGTGGAAATGTAAAATGATATAGCTACTTTGGAAAACACTTTAGAAGTTTTTTTTAAAAATATGAAATATACAACTGCCATATGACCTAATAATTGCGCCCTTGAGTATTTATTTCAGAGAAATGGAATAAATGTTCATGACAACCTTTATTTGAAATATCTGAAAACAGAAAACACCCTAGATATCCTTTAATGGGTAAATATACTTTTGGTACATCCATACCAGAAATACTACTCAGCAATAAAGAGGAATGAACTATTGATACATGCAACAACTTGGATGAATCTCCAGAGATTTATACTGAGTGAAAAAGCCAGCTCCGCAATATGTGATTCCATTCATATAACATTCTTAAAATGACAGAATTAAAGAAATAAAGCACAGATTAATCCCAAGGGTAAAGGAACTGGGGTTGGGGAGGTAGGGAGAGAGATGAGAGGGAAGTAGGTGGGACTATAAAAGTACAACAAGAGGAATTCTTACGGCTTTGGAATTGTTCTGTATCTTTACTGTATCAGTATCCTAATTGAGATATTATACTATAGTTTTATATGATAGTCCCATTGGGGGAAACTAGGTAAATGGTACATGGGATCTCTGTATTATTTCTTATAACTACATGTGAATTTGTAATTATCTTAAAATAAAAAAGTGTAGTTAAAATATTAAAAAGTTATAAATCAGGGTGACAAAGTCTAAATAAAATGTTTTATCCTCCTTAGACAAATGTATTTTCATAATGCCCTTCAAGGCCAAGTTTGAATTTAGAATCCTCAGACACCTTTGAGTTTCACACTAGAACATGGTAGTGTAGGGAAAGCTGGCCTCTGGCACCCAGCCTGCAGCCTGCTCCCCTTCTTCTATCCCCTGGCTCCATCCTGCACTGCAAGGGATGTTCTGTGAATACATGTGAACACCCTGGACCACATGTCCAAGCTCCATCCAACTACCTTCAATAAACAACTGTCCTTCAGGCATAGGACTGTGCAAAATATAATTAAATAAAATTTAAAAAATGGAATTTTATAATAATGCTTAGCCCTTTGGGAAAAGAAAACCGTCTTACTTTTCACCTTTAGTATATTTGACTTTCTATACTTAGTTGTGTTGTGAGGTGCCGTCAATTCTGACTTATAGCGACCCAATAGGACTGAGTAGAACAGTGTTTCCAAGAAGCAGGCGGTGGATTTGAACTTCTGACCTTTTGGTTAGCAGCCAAGCTCTTAACCACTACAGTAGAGCTACATTATATATGAAAATAGGAGAATGCCTGAATATACAAGTAAGGGGTCAGCAGACATATAAGGGAACCAACACATGAAGATGCTGTGAGCTTAGGGAAATATTTGGAAATGAATTCTGCTTTTTGTTTATCCCAGATTTTAAGATACCCATTGCTCAGAGTATCATTTTGACTTATGGATGTTTTCCTATGATTTTACTGTTAAGTCTTCATATTTTACCACCCAAATTTGATTTTATCTCTTTATTTTCTCATTTTTGTTTACTGGAACTGTTTCCTATAGATACATAAACTATGTGGAGTTAGCTTCAGTTTGAAAAATGATGCTTAAATACATGAAATTATGTAGTGGATTTAGAAAGTAAAGTATAAGGTAATATCATGTTAAGAGTTCAGACATTGTTTACTTCTCATTTTAAAGGACCTTATTATACTCTTTATTGTCTTCATGTAATGGATATCCTGTAAGTGCTTTATTTACCTAGCTGTCATTTTTTTCTTCAGATGTTCAGAAAATCATTGGTAAAGATGTTTGAAGATAAAGAGTTGGATTGCATATTTTTAGAAACTAATGTGAACATGAAGAAACAATATCATATGGTTTATGAGTGCATTCCTCTCCCAAAGGAAGTGGGTGATATGGCTCCTATCTATTTTAAGGTATTTAAATATGGTCTTTACATGCATATTTATTTTTTGCTACAGTTCTGTTTTATGAATATGGTTGTCTTGATTCATGTATTTTCCTCCCATATACTTATATCAAATTTTGTGTTATATAAAGAAGTAAAGCACATACACGAAAATTCTGCTGTATCAATTTCTGTAGAAAGAAATTTCAGATTTTGATTTTACAAGTATGAATGTGCTATCAATTGGTAAATTATAATTTCTATTTTATTTTCTCATGTGAAATCAGGGTTTTACCTTGAATTACTTTCAAGTGAATTGTAGTCATAACTGTAGAAAACTCATTATTGAACTACACTGGAGTCAAACATAGTAACATACAGATAGTACAAATTATAATTGCTGAAATAACTTATTGCATAAATTTTACTATTTTATACCTCATGATACCATTTGTAAAAGTAAAACAAATTTCTAACCTTGATATACATTTTTGGACATGGAATAAATAGTGTGTATTTGTTGTTGACCTGAATACAATATAAAGGAATTTATGGACTAATACAAGTGCATAAATATAGAACCATATATGAAATATTAACATATGCAAAGAAAAAGCAATGTAATATTTTGTGAATGGTGAATGAAGACTTCTGAGGATTAAACATTTGGACAATATAGGGTGGTAAGATTTATTATTCTGGACTATAAATTCTAATAAAAAGAATTATAAAACCTATTCAGGTTAAGGAAATCTTTAAAAACAATCTGATTATTTGATTTGAAGAATTACACTATTAAAGTGTGAGAGAATAAGCCAGATAATCCCAAAGACCCATTCCAGTCATATATTAAACTTAATTGAGAAAGAGATTATACTTTTCCAGTGAAATGGAGTCTTAGATGATCGTGACTAGAGGCATTTGAGGTACAGGGACCCACAGATAGCAGCCAGTGTTGCTGTTGTAGGGTGACAGAAATGTCATCTCTTAACACAATGGTGTATGACTTTTCTCCTTTACACTGAACTTTTATATGATCATTAAAGATGCTGCATTTATTTGATTTGGCTTCAATTTTGTATTGACTGTTCCACATGATAATGTCAAATCAAGCAGCCCAAGCCAAGCAGTATATCTGGTGTATTTAAATTGAACTTATTTGAATGTTAATTTTCTCTCTAAAATTAGTTTAATTAGTAACAATATTGTACAATAATGAGATTATTTTATATTCATCATCCTGCTTTTTCTTTCTATTAAATATTTCTTTATCATAAATAATAGTCATACTGCTGAGCCTAGAAAGTCTTAGAATTCCATTTCTATGTATTTTTCTCCCTGCATTTTTGCATTTTTACTTCTTTGCTATATGGGCAGAAATAGTTCAAGTTTTTTGTTGCCAGAAAGCATATAAATTACTCTTTTGATATTTGGAAGCAGAGCAATAAAACTAAATGAATTTGAGTAGATTTCTATGAATGCAGTAGGGAATTTGTGAACTTTTATGTTTACAAATTATGCTCAATATTAAAATGCTAGGTCTTATTAAGGATTGTTTTTGTCATGTAAAGCTGAGCTGAAGTTAGTATGAGTTAAGAATGAGTAAAAGAATATTGTCTTTACTGAAGATAGGATTGTTAAAAGTCAAGAAGTTCCAGTTTCAAATAATGACCTACCATGTGTAATGTACTCTAATTAATTCACTATGAGACTTTATTTTTAAACTCTCTTTGTATTTGCTTATATATTATATTTTTATTTAACAAATGGGTATTTTATAGAAAGCCATAATGGAATCTGATGAGGAGTGGTCCATGAACAAGAAGTTGATTGATCTCTCTTCAAAAGATATCAGAAAGTCTGTAAGTATCATTTTTTCCCCTAATATAAGAAAATGGTGTTCAGAATCTTCATTAATTTCCACATCTCAGTTGAGAAAGAGACCATTTGGATGAGTGACCAAAGGCAAAGTAACTGATTCTACAAATAAAGATTATTTTCATCCTTCTTGGTCTAGAAAATGCTTGTTTGTTTGTAGAGGCTTTCTATTTTTTTATCCAAATGAATGTTTTCTCCTGACCTTCCAGCCCTCTGCTATGTATTATTGGCTATGATAACCATTAGAATCTGCCATGAGAGGCCCTTTCATGGGCTTCTCAGGTCCTGTGGGAAAAATGGTGAGAGGGTCCTTCATGGTACTGGGATAATAATGAGAGGAAATTTTTCCTTGAGGCTCCATTTTGAATTTGGAACTCATTTTCTTTTCCCTATACAAAAGTTCTCTGTTATATTCCTATAAAACAGTAGTTGAGTTAGATCATGGGTTCATTATTCATTTGGAGACTTGTCTAACCATGTTTTATAGTTTAATCTTAATTTGCAGGTCAACTTTTGGATGTAAGTTATATGTAAGTTGAGTACTTTTGTAATGAACTCTTTTCTAGAAATATGAATTAAATGGAGTAGAGATTTAATAGATGTTTGAAATCTTTCTCTTCCTATTCAAAAAGCAATTTATTCTACAGCTATGTGTCAAGAGTCTACTATTTAGCAGCACTCTTCTAGATGCTTTTTATACATAGTTAACAAAACAGAGCGGATCCCTGCCTTTATGGAGTTTATATTTCAGTGCAGGGGTTGGCAACTACAATCTATAGGCCAAATCTGCCTGCGGCCTGTTTTTGTAAACAAAGTTTTATTGGAACACAGCCTCACTCATTTGTTCATATATTGTCTGTGGCTGCTTTCTTGCTGCAAGGGCAGAGTTGAGTAGTCCAACTGAGACAGTATGATCCGCAAAGCCTAAAATAGTTTGCTATCTATATCTTTACAGAAAAAGTTTACCTATCCTTGTTCCAGTAGAAGAGTCCTAGTGGCGCAGTGGTTAAGCACTTGGCTGCTAACCAAAAGGTTGGTGGTTCGAACCCACCAGCCACTCCAAGGGAGAAAGATGTGGCAGTCTGCTTCTGTAAAGATTGCAGCCTTGGAAACCGTTATGGGGCAGTTCTGTTCTGTCCTATAGGGTTGCTATGAGTTGGGATTGACTTGACGGCAAGGGATTTGGTTTTATTTGGTTCTGTTCTAGTATATGTCACTAAAATATTTCTCCCCCATTTCTTTTGTAAAGCCATTCTCCTGATACGTGTGACTGATAGAATTCCTTATTAAACTTAATATATCCCAGTCAGCATATTAAAATTTCAATGCATTGTTGAAGATACACAGTTTTAATTCAGAGGTAAAACATTGTCTACAGTGTTTTTTCTCTTTCTGTGCTGGTCAATTGAGCCAGACAACATATTAAAGCACGAAACTGTAAATGTCCTATATACTTTGGAACCTTATGAACCTATAGATGGAATCATAATTTATATACACTTTTTTGCCTGAGATTTTCACTTATCCCATGCTAATAAATATTCTTTGAGAACATGATTGTAATGGCAGTTAATAGTTCAGAATAAGAATTTATAGAGAAATGTATTATTACCCATTTGCTGTACTGTGTGTGCATTATTCTTACCAGTGAACCATGTAGTACCTATTGTTTGTTTTCTAAGACTTGGATAAATACCTGAATTGAGTAGCCAGGAGGTCTTAATAATATTACAAATTAACCAATAAAAAACAGGTACTGATCCTTGTAAGAATGGTGATCGTATATTCAATTTTAAAGTGTTCCAAAGATAACCTTTACTAAGTTTTATATCTGAGGCCATTTGAGAGTCACAGTAGAGGGGAATGAGCCAGATGACATCTTGAGGTCCCTTTTAGCACTAGGATTCTATAATTATGTGAATGGAATTGTGAAGAGAATTTGAGCATAAGAATAATTCCAAAGGAGGTCACTTTTTAGGTTAGCAAGCTTTCTAGTGTCTTTTTAAAATTATAAAAGTGTTTCAGAGCTAGAAATGAAGCACTGTTAAGCTTTTGACATTGTTTTTACTTCTGAAAGAATCTCATTACACTTTTTTTTAAAGCCCTGTGTCCTTGCTAGTTTCATAAGGTATTTTGCCTACTTCATTGGAGGCAGGGTGATTTTTTTTTTTTTTCCCACTGAGTAGATTCTTGACTTATAATAGTGTTTCATATATTTGTAATTCATTTCTATTCATTGTTGAATTTATATTTTTATTTTATTTGAGAGTATAAGCTTGCCTTCTTTTGCCCATTTTGTTTACTTTTTCTGGATCTTTTGAATATTCTGCAGCATAGTATGAAGTCCGTGGAAATAGATTAGTAAACAAATCTGAATGTTCATTGGAGAGGAGTTGCATAATATTAAACAACTCGTCATGAAAAGTGGTCATTTTTCACAAGGCTGTTTCATTATGATTTAATGAGAATTCCTGAACTTTTAAAATTTGATTTTTTAGTTTAATTTTGTGGTAACTATAGTTAAATTGACTAGATAGCATCGGGTTTGATTTTTGGTTATAGCAATTGAGAAAGCATATGACATACTTAGGAACTGAGTTTTATTTTTTAAAAAAGAAAATCCGTATCAAGGGAAAATTCAGATTTACGTAGAGATCCTCTGTTACGGATTGAATTGTGTCCTCCAAAAATACGTTTTATAAATCCTAAACCCTACACCTGTAGTTACAATCCTATTTGGGAATGGGTTTTCTTTGTTATGTTAATGAGACAGTATTAGTGTAGGGTGTGTCTTAAGTCAGTCTCTTTTGAGACAAAAGAATTTAAACAAGCAAGTGAGCAAGCAAAGATGGGGGATAAGAGATGCCAAGCCACATGAAGATCTTCCAGGAGCAAAAGCTCAGAAGAGGCAAGGACCTTCCTCCAGAACCGACAGAGAGAGAGAGCTGTCCCCTAGAGCCGGCACCCTGAATTTGGACTTCTAGCCTCCTAAACTGTGAGAAGAGAAATTTCTGTTTGTTAAAGCTACTACCCATTTGTAGTATTTCTGTTATAGCAGCACTAGATAACTAAGATCCATACCTTCAAACCCAAGGACAATAATAGGGAATATTAAAAGAGAAAAATTCAGACAGTAGTGCTTTTATATTGTAAATAAGATTTTTTGCAGTAGTTCTGTCAGTACCTTTAGACGTGGTGCCACAATTCCAGTTCATTTCCCTCTGGCTGGTCAAGGCGGGAAAAGGAAAGTACTACATGTACAAACACTTTGATACCAGAGTCTTTGCGATGCCTGCCGCTAACAACCCTCCTAGCAGGACAGCAGGGTGTATCTTTTGCAGCCTGCAAAGAGATTAACAGAGGTGAGGCCTGTGGCAGCAGCTGTTATTTGTGTAACAGTAGTTGTGTGTTCATTGTACCATCTTGGCAAATATGCCACAGGTTGTTGAGCCTTCGTATATATATTAGGTTCCTATTGCTGCTGTAACAAATGTAAAAAAACACAAATTTATTAATGTTTTGGAGGTCAGAAGTCTGAAATGGGTTTCACTGTGCTAAAATCAAGATGTTGGCAGGCCTAGATCCTAGAGGGTCTGGGGGAATCTGTTCCCTTGCCTTATCCAGCTTCTAGAAGCCTCCTACATTCCTTGATTTGTGGTGCCTTCCTCCATCTTTAAAGCCAGCAATGTGGTATCCTCCAATATCTCTCTGGCCCTGATCCTCCTGTCTCTTTCTTACAGGGACCTTTTGATTACATTGGGCCCACCTGGATAATCCAGGATAATCACCCCATTTTAAGATCCTTAACTTTAATCACATCTGCCAAGTACCTTTTACCATGTAAAGTAACATACCTGTGGCAGTTAGGGGACAGGGCATTGCCATCTGGAGGTGGGATCATTCTGCCTACCACAGTGTAGTACCAAGAGAAAGCGTGGGCACTGTCAGCAAAAATTTCTCAAGTTATCTCTCGTAGTACTGTCTGTTAGTCGATGTAGTTCTATAACATCTTTTGGGGCATTCAGATTCATGCTTCACACATGGTAATCTACTTCAGGTGGCAAAGGGGTTCTGATGGAGCCTTCCATCTTTTTTTTCTCTGACCACCAGGTTTGCATAAAGCACTCTTGTATAGGAGACAAAAATGAAAGTAAGGTTTGAATAATTTCTGTGTGCCAAGAATTGGGCTAGGAACTTTACATGCATTGTTCTATTTGATCCTCACAGCAAACTTCTGAGCTCCTCATATTTCTCATGAGACCAAGAGATATTAAATGACTTGCCAGAGATTACACAGTTCTAAGACTCAGAGCTGTGATGAGAGTCTTGTCTCTTTTTTACTTTATTTTTTCCTAATTGTCAAGGTTATACATGTTGGAATAAAGAAATATATAAAGCAAAAAAATAATTACCTACTTCTCTGCATTTTATATTATGTACAGTTTTATAAACTGACTTTTTTCCTTATACATTTCCTATATCATGAAGAACTCTTTATAAGCCCTAATTTTAATTTCTTTATAACACTTCAAGATGACCATTCTCTTTCCACCATACCACACTATGCCTTTCCATGTCCTGCCTTCTTGGGGAGACAATATAGAATATATATCATTAAGTAGAAGTCTGTGATTTAGTGCCAAAATAAGTAAATGCTGACTCATGAGAGGATTAGAGAGATGTTCCTATCCATTGACCCACTTGAATAATTTCTAGTGAAAAAGATAGGACTTGAAGGAAAAACTCGCAAGGACACAAGATCTATTTAACTGATAGAGATAGCAGGAAATTATGGCCTTTCTAGTCAAGATATAGTTTAAAATACTTCGTGTTTGTGTGTGTGTGTGTGTCTAGAGAGAGAGAATGGGAGAGGGCAGGGAGGGAGGGAGGGAGTGAAAGATAATAGATAATCCTGGAGATATTAATGAGGTTGGTAAACTAAGTATTGCTCTACCCATCTCGCCAGTTTAAAAAAAAAAATCTATGGTTGTTCTGGTTTAGTTTATCTTTGAAAAATCATAGTAAAGTCTCAGGGATATTGTAAACAAAGCTCTAAGTATGTGGCCAGACCCCTCTTCCTGTTCTGCAATGTAAAATATAAGAAAGCATATCCTCGTTCTCTGTGCAACATAAGTTTTGAAAAATATTCTGCTGTTATATAAAAATTACAGGTGCCTTTTGTTTTCCTGCTTTCCCTCAGGACAAGAAAGTAATTGGTTTTATTATAATTGCTAGATATTATGAAGAGCTGTCAGGCTGAAAGGCTGCCAAAATGAAATGTTTTGCTTAGAAAGTTAAGTCATTATTTAAGTATCTCTAGAATTGGAAATTCATTGTATACTTTTATCTTGGGGGATACTATTATAGTTAGAGAGCAAGAGGAGGGATTAAGTATAATTTTCTGAGCTGATTCCATATTTCATGTGTGATCTTTCTGTTTATTTAGGTACCTAGAGGCTTACCTTATTTCTCTGTGGATTTTGGCCTCCAAGGAGGGTTTGCCCATGTCATTGAAGATCAACACAAATTCCCTCATTACTTTGGGAAGGTATGTTCACAATTTGATAAAATTCCAGTGTTTAGTAATTTAATATCCCTTTTCTTTCGAAAGGAAGTCAAAACTTCGGGCGCAATTTGCAGTGAGGTTGGTGAACACTGCTGCATTCAGTTTGTAGAAGGGGAACCTAGAAACTATTAGTAAAAATGATTCAAAATATTTATAACAGAGTCGGGAATGTTACTTTGGAACCAAATACTTGTTAACAGTGTCAGCAGTTACTCTGATGTTTTCCTTTGAAGTCAGCCAGCTGAGAATGATGATAATTGCTAATACGTAATAAGGGTCTACAATGTTCCAGGTACTGTTCTAAGCACTCATTTAATGGTCACAGTAACTCTATTATGTAGGTATTGTTTTTGCCTTCATTTTATAGATGAAGAAACTGAGCTACAGAGAGGTTATATAATTTGCTCAGGATCATGGCGCTAATAAGTGACAGAGTTGGGATACATATAGTCATGGTGGTATTAAGAGAACAAATGATCTCACCTCTTCATTTATAGTTAAACAAAATAAGTCCCAGAGGAATATATGACTCATTTCACACAGATAGTTTCTGGGCAGACATTAGAGTCTACAGCTTATTATAGTTGTCAGGTTTTTTTCCATTACTACTGATTGCCTTCTGGGAGTTTAGTCCTTAAATTAAAGGTCTGTGGAAGTATCTGGAAATTGTATACATTAGTATCAAGGATTGTAATGAGATTAATGCAGCATCTGAAGCAGTTAGAAGAAGTCTGGGCAATAAAAGATTTAGAAACGATCTTTAAACTAGTATAGCTCAAGCCTTTCTGCTTATTTTATGGCTATGTAGCTAGTTTCTCTAAGTAAGAGGGGCCTTGATGAACTCTGCTTAGGGTGCTCCCTTCCGCTCTCCCCTCTCTCCCATTTTAATCTCCTGTATAGGAGCCTCTTCTACAAATGAATGAGAATGTGTCAAAAGGAATTTCAACTCCAGAGGTTTGGATTGAAAACTTTTTATGCTGTTGTCCTTAATGGGTTAACCAGAAATCCAGAATCACATGCATCTTTGAATTGTTGAGATATATTACAGAAACTTGTTTGAGACATTTTTAGAATGTTTTTTTCAAGAGTTAACTATAAAGAAATTTATTTTCACTGCTCTCAAACATCTTATTGTTATTCAGTAGGTTTTATAACTGAAGGCTCTATGACTCTGGACTTATTTTAAAGTAAATTTGATTCTGGTGAAAAGGAAGTAAAGTTTTTTGTTTTTGTTTTTTTTTTAACTTGTATAAATTTCATTGGAGGAGCCCTGGTGGTGCAGTGGTTAAGTGCTTGGCTGCTTAGTGAAAGGTTGGCGGTTCGAACCCACCAGCCACTCCACGGGAGAACGATGTGGCAGTCTGCTTCCATAAAGATTACAGCCTTGGAAACCCTATGCGGTAGTTCTGCTCTGTCCATGAGGTCGCTCTGACTCAGAATTGATGCAACAGCACACAACAACAACAAATTTAATTGGGAAACTGATCCCCTTTCAAATATTATGCATATATTATGGTTTATATGATCCTATTTTAAGATTAGGAGGAAAATTTCCCCAGTTAGTGTTGCTTCACTGATCCATTTTCCCCAACCCTTGCTTTTCAAGAGATAGCCTGTGGATCCAAGAACTCTCTTCAGCCTACTGCCTAAGCAGTTGCTTGGAGAACAAGAAGAGATTATTAGGGTGGTCTCTTTCCATTAACAGCTGCTTGAGTAACAGAACAAGAAACAATCCTATAGGATGTACATAATATAAAACTTGATGTTTTATAGAGGCAGTTTCAGGTCAACTTATTAGCTAGGCTTTCTTAAACTGCATTGCTTACTTGGACTGATGCTGAGAAACTCTTGCACTTTACCTAAATTTGCCCATTTGTTTTGATGTCTTCTTCTGTCTCTTTCGGTCCCTTTGTTTCCTCTATTTCCCTTTCCAAATAATAGGAGGCTCCCTTTTCCGTGATGCTTTTCCTGATTCACCCAACAAATGGAATCTTTTTTTCTTAATTCTTCAAAGCAAATTCTTTATCTGCTTTGACACTTACTTATTCTGTTTTATAAGACAGACCTTTGCATAGCTGGATTATTGTTCTGGCTCCCACCAAAATTCCAGATTTTATTAAGAGATCTCTAAAGGCAAACAGATGTATGTCAATTATCTTTGTATCCCCTACAATATTTGGTATTTACCTTGTGCATAGTAGGCTCCTATGGTACATTTGTTGAGTTAAGAAGAACCTACATCTTAAAAAGATTATGTGATTTGTGCAAGGTCTCACCTCACAGCCCAGTAGAGATTCAATATGCAGAATCCAACCTTTAGTCCCATGTTTTCCTATATTACTACATCCCTCACCCCTAAGCATTTCAAGTCTTCCTGATTATCTTTCTGTACATGGATACTCACATGCATTAATTTGATGAGTTTTTGTAGCTAGCAACATAGGAGGAAGATCATGAAGGAAATAATCCAGAATAGTAAGCAGACAATCAAAAAGTCATTCCTTTCAGGGTTTAGAAATATGACTTTTTAAATGAAGGGAATTTATAATTTTTAATTCTAGGTTTACTTACATTAGTATTAAAATGTGATTTTTATTTCCTGAAAAAAGATCTCCAGCTAATAGTAGAAGAAACTGGCTTATATATATAAATACACAGGGTAGCAGAGAAAACATTAGCCTGAGATTCAACTGCAGTTGAGCAACTAAGTTAATAATTGCTACGTGTTGATTAACTTTTTCTCCAAACTGTTTACCAGAGCTGTTAATAAGAACCAAATTAAATAAATTTTACTTGTCTTCCTCCCCTTTGCCTACTGTCTGGTAGATGTGCTAACAAGTAGCAAAATAGATAAATGGCTTTGCAGGAGACAGAGCCAGTACTCGTAGAGTCACAGGGTTTGCATAGTTAGAGCTAATTCAGAACAAGATTTTTTAAAACTTGAAACTAATATTTATGCATTTAATATATTTAGTTGCAGAATAAACAGACATAGTCTCATTCTTTTTTTTTTTTTTTTTTTCAGTATTATTTATACATACATGGTTTGTGTTTTTCTCATTCTTTAAAAGGAAATCATTGGTGGGATGCTGGACATAGAACCAAGACTTTGGAGGAAAGGAATCCGAGAAAGCTTTGAGGATCAGAGGAAGAAAGCACTACAGTTTGCTCAGTGGTGGAAACCATATGACTTCACCAAAAGTAAAAAATGTTGAGGCTTATCCTTCTTTTTTATGTCCTTTTCAGATCCCTTTCAGTTTTATTTCTGTCACATCTAACTAAACAACTGGCTGGCAGATCATAGGGAAAAGAGCCATGGCAGCAGATGGCTCTGGGTCACTGGCAAGCAATCATCATTGGATTGTGTGGTTTCTTCCCCCACTACTCCTGGGAACTTCATTTCAGTGACCAGAGAGTAAGACCAGATGTATTGGATGGCCCGCTCACATTCCTGTCCACCTGTTCAGTTAATTACAGAAAAGGGCTTCTCTGAAGAGAGATTTGGGAAGCATAGGAAAGCAGTGGTTCAAAGGGAAATGGGTCTGCTCCAGTGTTGTTAAGTCTATTGACTGTCTTCTTTTGTATTTTTTAGAATAAGTCTTGGCATATTCAGTAGTAATTGAAAGTTCGTTTCATAGGATTTTATAGAAGAGCTCTTAATTTTTAACTAGAAGCATATAATATCACTGCTGTTCTTTTTGTTAAAGAAAAGAGAATGTCCCCAAAGTAATAAAGAATCAAATGATGGTGAAAATATAACTCATATCCACAACTTGAGTTTGTTTTTATTTCTGGATTTTCTGTTAAATTGTGTCCACTATTATTTGTGTCTTTGAATTTTGGTGATTTTAAAAGTGCGTGTTAAACATATAACAGAATTTATAGATCTGCATTTGTATGAGAATTAAAATTTTTATCCAAATCATTATTTTTCATTTGTATTGATTACTATAATATCTTAAGTGATGAGAACATTCCAAATGTCAGGAGAACATTCTGTTGTGCCACTTCATTGAAGATAGTTGATTTTTATTTGTTCTTACATTTGGTATCAAGATAAAACCATATGCTTACCAAATATGTCCATGATGTGAAGGTGAAGCCGCTCCTGCTTTTTTTAATGGAAAGATCTTTTTTTAATAACCTTCTTTCAAAGATGTTGGTTTTTTGGAAGCTGAACCTTGGCATTTTGTCATAAAATGTTGAATACCTATACTCAGTAGTGATGCATCCTCCAGAGTAACTCACACACTACACAGTTATTTTTAATATCAGCATCTCATTATATCCTCAGTGTGTTAGAGAAATATTTATGTTCTATCTGTGGCTTTTTTAATTTCACGTATAAATTGAAGCTTAATGGTTTTAATATTTTGAAATTGCATTTGAGTATATTTATCAAATAGAAGCTTGAGAACATTGTATTGCTGTTTTCAAACTCTCTTGGCTTTGCTACAAAGTCTCAAAGGAACCTCTAATAGTCATTCATTCCATCAGTGAGTTTGTTTTGAAGAACACTGTGTTATGTGTTGGTGATGCAAAGATAAAAAGTACTTCCCCTGCCTTAAATTATTTTACAGTTTAGTAGACAAAGTGACATGTACATAAATAATTATACCACAGTATGATAAATTCTAAACGGAGATATACACCCAAATGTATTGGAGTACAGTGCTAAAGGATTATTTCCCACTTCCCCTCGCTTCGTTCTCAGCTGTTAACTTTGTTTCCTTTTACTGAGAAAATAGAAGCAAACAAAAGAGAATTTCCACCACATCTGTCTACCTGTATTTGCACCCACATACTCTACTTTTCCTCTTGTTAACTGTGGATTAATTATTTGGTTGTTCTTATCTAAGGCCAGTCCACTCATTTATATGCTAGGTCTTATCCTTTCTCACCTATTAAATTGTCCCCACTCTCTCTGTGTTTAAATTAGATTTTTCCTCTCTACAGGATCATTCCTGTTAGCATTAAAAAAAAAAAAAAAATCTGTAAGATATCTTGTCTTTCAAACAACAAATGTTGGCATCACATCCCTTGTAGCCACTTACCCAGTTTACAGAAAAACTCATAAAAAAATAAGTCTATTGCTTCTCCTCTCGTTCTCCTCCTATTTTCAGTACAGTTAGCCTTCATCCTCAGCATACTCTTCCTCTCAGCATCATTGATATACTTGATCACTTCCCCTTCTTGAAACACTTTCCTCACTTTGCTTCTAGAACACTTCTTATTTATCCTTCCTTACTGGCCACATTTTCTGTCTCCTTTTCTGGTTCCTCTTCATCTACTCAGCATCTAAATGTTGAAATATCTATTCTGAAACCTCATCTCTGCTCACTTCCAAGGTAATCACTACATTAAAATAATCTTAATTACCATTTATGATCTGGTTCACTTATTCAACAAATATTTGAGTGTCTACTATGTCCCAGGCACTATACCGTGTGCATATGATGCATTAGTGAATAATAATAAAATCTCTGTCTTTGAGGAGCTTATGTTGTCTCAGGGAAAGAAAGACAATAAATATTAGACAAAATAGAGAATGTCAGAAGGCAATAAGTATTATGGAAAAAGGAAAATTAGATCAAGGAGGATGTTTCCCAAATTTTATCTTCACTCTGGACCTCTTCTTTTAGCTCCAGACTCGTATATCCAAATACCAACTTGACGTCTCTACTTTGATATCTAATAGGCATCTGTAATGGGCATGCCCAAATCTGAACTCTGGATTTTCTTTCTGTTCCAGTTATTTATTGCTGCTTAACAAGTTACCCAAAATTAGTATCTTATAATAGTAGTCATTTTGTTACATTTCACAGTTTTGTAAGTGAGGAATTTGATCAGCGCTTAACTTTGTGAGTTATCTCTGTTCAATGATGTCTGAGGCCCCAGTGGAGTGGCTCAGATGTCTGGAGATGACTGGGGCCATGTGTCTAGGGCCTCTGTTCATCGTGTGGTGTATACTGGGTCTGGAATGTTCCAAATGGCTCCTTTGCTGACATGTCTGGGCACCTGGACTGGAATGATGGCTGGAAAGCTAGGAACTAACTAGTATCACTCTCTCCATGTATAGAAACTTCATAGTAGTCAGACTTGCCATGTGGCTTCTGACTTCCTCCAGAGTAACTACTTCAAAGGAGTGTTCCAAGAGGTAAGAGGTGGAAGCTGCTAATCTCCTAGGTCTTGGGCCCAGAGATTGGCACCACTTCATTTCTGCTGTATTGTGTTTGTCAAAGCTGTCACAGTCCACCTATATTCAAGAAGATAGGTCATAAACCTGTTGTGTCCTTATGTGAGTTCCTAGGACTGGTACCTGGAATACATTCTCTCAGAAATATTTGAGTGAATTATTAAATCTTACTGGCACCTTAGAAGATAACATGACAGTTTTCTAAGGCTTGCTTTGCCTCCTACCTGATTGAGGACTCTACCATTGGCATCAATCAGGAAGAACCTCAAATAGTTTTTTTTTTTTAATTGTACTTTAGATGAAGGTTTACAGAACAAGTAGTTTCTCATTAAACAGTACACATATTGTTTTATGACATTGGTTAACAACCCTATGACATGTCAACATTCCCCCTTCTCGATCTTGGGTTCCCTATTACCAGCTTTTCTGTCCTCTCCTGCCTTCTAATCTTTGTCCCTGAGCTGTTGTGCCCCATTAGTCTTGTTTTGTTTTATGAGGCTGTCTAATCTTTGGCTGAAGGGTGAACCTTGGGAGTAACTTCATTACAGAGCTAAAAGGATGTCCGGGGGCCATACTTTTGGGGTTTTCTCCAGCTGGGTCCAGGACCCTCTATTGTGATCCCTGTCAGAGCAGTCAGTGGTGGTAGCCAGGCATCATCTAGTTGTATTGGACTCAGTCTGGTGGAGGCCGTGGTAGTTGTGGTCCATCAGTCCTTTGGACTGATCTTTCCCTTGTATCTTGTTTTCTTCATTCTCCCTTGCTCCCGAGGGGGTGAGACCAGTGGAGTATCTTAGATGGTTGCTCACAGGCGTTTAAGACCCCAGACGCTACTCACCAAGGTAGAAAGTAGAACATTTTCTTTATAAACTATGTTATACCAATTGACCTAGATGTTCCCTGAGACCATGGTCCCCACAGCCCTCCACCCAGTAGTTCAGTCCTTCAGGGAGTTTGGATATGTCTATGGAGTTCCCATGACCTTTCCTCGTACAAGTTCTGCTGGCTTCCCCAGTATTGTGTACTGTCTTGCCCTTAACCAAAGTTATCACTTATCTATCAAATAGTATTATTGATCAGTGTGTTTTGGAAGTTTCTGCAGGTTACCCATCAATTTACTTTTCCCCATCAAAATAATTCTGTGTCTAGGAGCAAACACATAATTGAAGAAGATATCTCAGAACTAAGAGAGGAATTGCCAAAGGAAAGAAGCACTGAGATCAAGAAATATTTGATAAAATTCAGGCAATGTCCTCAAATGCCAGAAGGCACAGAAATGTCCCAAGGACCATTAATGTGATCTTTAAGAAACTTCTGCTGGTAGAACACAAGCACTGAACCCATTATTAGGCCAGTTAACCAGGATGTCCCACGAAACCATGACCCTAAACCTCAAAACCAAGGAACTCTAAATCCCATGAGGTTTTTGGTTTTACATAAGCAACTTTGGCAACTACTTTTGTTTTTTTTTTTGGTCATCGATGTAAAGATATCTATCACACAACTTTCGTCAATTCAACTTTTTACAGGTGTGCAACTTATTGACAGCAATTATAATAATCAGCTGTGCAACACTACTCTTAATCCATGTGATTTTTCTGTCACTGTTAACTCCTTCTTTCCCCCTCCCTCCTGTCCCTGGTAACCACTAATAAACTTTGTTCTCTGTACATTTGCCTTTTCTTGCCTTTTTATGTAAGTGAGGTCATACAGTATTTGTCCTTTTGTGATTGACTTACTTCTCTCAGCATAATGTCTTCAAGCTCCATCTGTAAAAAGCTTGCAAGCAGCCATCCAAGGCACAACAATTGATCTCTGTTCACCTGGAGCAACAGAGGAAGGCAGAGCATCGGGAACAGGAGGAGGATGTGGAATGTGTGGCTAATTGCCTCCTTTGCCATGAGACCAGAAGAACTGGATGGTACCCAGCTACCATTACGAACATTTTGATCAAAGATTCTGTAGAAGAATCCTGATGAAAAGGGGGAAAATGCAGAACAGAATGTTAAATTCTCATGGACTCCAGGCATTCTGGAGCCATGGAGGCTGAAAGAACCCCTGAAACTATTGCCCTGAGATAATCTTTAAACCTTAAACCAAAAATATCCCCTGAAGTCTTCTTAAAAACAAACAATAGTTTAACTTAACTAGTAAAAAATGTTAGCCTTGAGCATTATGCTCTTTTAAGAACTATATGGGATCAAAGTGGCAACAGCAACTCGAAAGATTAGATGGGAACCTTAAGGGGCAGTGAGTTTATGTTAAGGGAGGAGGAACAACTTAGAAAAGGAGGGTGAGAATGGTTGCACAACCCAATGTAGTCAATGTCGTTGAATTGTACATGTAGAAACTGTTGAACTGGTGCATATTTTGCTGTATATTTTCTCAACAACAAAAACAAAAACTTATGCTGGTATTCTTGTAGCTTTGGAGCAAATGTGACTGAAATGGGTGCATTAACTTTTTTAAAACAAACTGCTAATTCTTTGTGTAATTTAGCATAGTAGTGTTCTTTTTTTTATTGTAGTTTAGATGAAGTTTACATTTCAGATTAGTCTCCCATACAAAAATTTATATATACATTGTTATGTGACCCTAATTGCTCTCCCTATACTGTGAGCACACTCCTCCTTTCCACGCCTGATTTCCCACGTCCATTCAACCAGCTTCTAACCCTCTCTGCCTTCCCATCTCACATCTGGACAGAAGCTGCCCATTTAGTCTCTTGTATCTACTTGAGCTAAGAGGCACACTCCTCACGAGTATCACTTTATGTCCCACAGTCCAGTCCAATCCTTGTCTGAAGAGTTGGCCTCGGAAATTGTTTTAGTTCTGGGCTGATAGACAATCCAGGGGCCATGCTTTCTGGGGTACCTCCAGTCAGACCGTTAAGTCTGGTCTTCTTACTAGAATTTGAGTTCTGCACCTTACCTTTCTCCTGCTCCATCAGGACTCTCTATTGTGTTCCCTGTCAGGCTGGTCGTTGGTGGTAGCTGGACACCATCTAGTTCTTCTGTTCTCAGGTTGATGAAGTCTCTGGTATATGTGGCCCTTTCTGTGTCTTGGGCTAATACTTTCCTTGTGTCTTTGGTGTTCTTCATTCTTCTTTACTCCAGTGGTTGGGACCAATTGATGCATCTTAGAAGGCCGCTTGCAAGCTTTTAAGACCCCAGACACCACTCACCGAAGTAGGATGCAGAACATTTTCTTAATAAGCTTTGTTATGCCAATTGACATAGATGTCCCCTGAAATCATGGTCCCCAGATCTCTACCCTTGCTACTTTGTCCCTCAAAGTGTTTGATTGTATTCAGGAAACTTCTTAGCTTTGGTTTAGTCCAGTTATGCTGACTTCCCCTGTAGTATGTGCTGTCCTTCCTTTCATCTAAGAGAATAGTTGTCTACTATCTAGTTAGTGAACAACCCTCACCCTCCCTCCCCACCCTAGTAACCATCAAAGAATGTTGTCTTCTGTGTTTAAACCTTCTCTTGAGTTCTTATAATAGTGGTCTTATACAATATTTGTTCTTCTGTGACTGAATAAATTCACTCAGCATAATGACCTCTAGATTGCTCCATGTTACGTTTCACGGCTTCATCATTATTCTTTATTGTTGTGTAGTATTCCATTGTGTGGATATACCTAATTTGTTTATCCATTCGTCTGTTGATGGGCATCTATGTTGTTTCCATCTTTTTGCTATTGTGAACAGTGCTGCAGTGAACATGAGTGTATATATATCTGTTCGTGTGATGGCTCTTATTTCTCTAGGATATATTCCAGGGAGTGGGATAGCTG